GTGTGTGTGTGTGTGTGTGTGTGTGTGTGTGTGTGTGTGTGTGTGTGTGTGTGTGTTTAGCTATAAAATAGACCATGCAAAGAGCAGAGTAGTGATGTGAAGCTGTAAGAAGTGAGATAAAGTCAGGGTTCCCTGCAAAAGTGAAAAATCTCATCCTGATGCATTTCAGTACAAACCTCCAGCACCCACAGATGGTTTATTTTTATAAAATCCTACAAGAATCCTACATCTGTCGAACAGCTTTCTCCTAAATCCAAATTCTCAAACCTTTCCATTAAAGGTAAATATGATCAGAGTCAAGCAATACTTTATAGGTAGGCTGTAAGTAGACTTTCTGAAAGGTTTAACATGTTCATAAAATTATTAGAACATCAGCCACACAGTCCAGGTCATTACACTGATTCTGCCATGTGAGTGAACCAAAACATAGACCATAAACAATAATTCAGCTCATTGATTACAGCCCCCTGGTAGCAGGTAATGAGTTATTTAAAAGCACAACCTGAGCTGAAGCACATTACCTAAACATTTATATTCAAAGCTCCAACATTATGGAAGCAAAGCTATCGGTCTATAACGGCAGCAGCTGCTTTAAATCCACAATTCAAGAGCTTACAATGAGACGTGACTCAGTCCTGTACTGCTGTGAGCTGATGTTTGTGGGTTTATCTACAAGAGATAAGGCTGGGGCAGAACGCTTGTTTTTTCCCTTCAGGAAAACCTTTTTAACTTAAGAGCAGCTGGCGATAAGCTACAGTAAATGCAAGATGTTCATGTCCTGACGAGGGGAGGCAAAAATAAAAGGTCCACATCATTTCAGAAATAAACGCAGAACCTTGTGAGCACTGATCAGTCTCTTGTTATTCAGCCATGAAGGCAATTTGCCTTAAACCCCCACGTGAACGTCCACAGATCTGATTTAAATGCATTCCTGCAGCAGCTAATTAACCAGAGAGCCACTGAGGTAGGAGCTCAATTTGACACGGTTACCACAGCTGGTTGAAATATAAAAACAGAAACAAACAAGTCGACACATAATGTGAACCTGCACTGCTGTTGCTCTATTAAACCAGTGTTGTACAATACTGGTCCCTCAAGGGCCACTACCCTGCATGTTTTACATGTTCCTCTTCTGACACACCAGATTTAAATTAAATGGTATGTCCGAATAAAAGAGGAATCCACTGGATTTTTTTGTCAAAACTTTATTATCAATCTTCTGACTCCAATCAGGTACAGCACTCAGCAGGCCTCAGTGTAAAACTTTGTTTATACTTCAATAAGACGTGCGACAGCGGTTTGTTGATTGCACAATTTCAGCGAGTCTTTTTCCTGACCGAGTATAAACGAGCTGCAGACGCGGTGGCCATAAATTATCATAAATCCTCCCTCTGCCCTCCCTCAGTGCATATTAAGTATATAAAATACAATAACGATGGCTGGATAATGTTTTTACCCACTCAAAATCAGTATTAAAGCTGCTGTATGTAGTTTCTTGGGAACCCAAAAACTTAGAAAAATTTTGAACAGAAACACCCTTGTAGTCCCTCCCCCTGCTCTCAGCTCCCCTTCCTAAGCTCCTCCCCCACAGCAGGG